CTGAAAACACGTGATGCACAGCTGGAGGTTCATGTGAGCAGAATGGCTTTAACAATGCTAATGATGATCTGCCTAGTGACAGTCCTGTCTGCACTGCAGTGATTTATACCATTGTTCTTAAGGAAAAAAATATGGTCCACAGTGCCCAGGAAAATCTCTGCTGGAATGCCCCTCATGCTCAGCTTTCTCTTGCAAAATGCACTACAATTTTATTCCATTACAGTGACTACAAATAAACTTTCTCCTTCCCAAATACGTATGTCTGTTTGAATAAGTACTAATTAGCATGTCAGCATTGTGCCTAGCCCTAGCAGGGTACAGTGTACCTCCTCATGGCTTGTGGGATGTTGAAACTGTGCTTTGAAGCTTCAGATGTCCTGCTTATCTGGGAGCAAGAACCTTCCCTGGACAGAATGCTGTTTTGCTGAAGAGTTTGAAGTAATGACTGAAAGCTCTGCATTTAGTGCCTGGTAGCAGGAGTGTGTCCTGCTGCAGGAGTATCCTCTTGGTACTACTTGCTGTGTTCTGTCTGAAGGAGAGTGATGCAGAAATCCTCTATCACAGGCAATGTTTGTCCCTAGGACCAGAGCAGGTGATGACTGTCACAGGGTCCATCCTGCCTTGTCCTCAGCTCCTCACTGTGACCACCAGCTCTCCAGGGACATGAGGACAGTGTGGGATGCTGACAGCATTTTAAACGAAGGGAGAAGCTATGGGAGGAAGAAGTGAGTTGAGGCTTTTTGCAACAATCATCTCAGAACTTCAAGTGGGGAATACAGGGAGCAAGATGAACAAAGAGAGCAACAGCAACAGTGGAACTAGCAACTGGTCTTGAAGAAAAACAGGGCAGCAAGGAGGAGCATTATAAACTGCTCATCAAAGTCGCATGCAAATATTAATGCTGGCGTTGTACTCAAGTAACTGCGTAGATGGAGATGTGTAGATCTAAATTTGTGTTCCTTTATGAATCACTTTAGAGATATAATCTTAGCTTCTTTTAATCAAACATTAACAATTTGTTTATGTCCTTTGCTGTCTGTCTTTGTTGGTTGTTCTTCAGTATCTGTATTGACTATTGCTTGTGGGAAAGCAGTTTCCCTGTGCTCTAATGGAGAAAACAGAACTTTACATTTGGCAGGAGAGATTCCCATTTGTAGCTCTAACAGAGCTGCTTTCTTCTTTGGTTCTCATTTACTTCCCTGCCAGACAGATAAAGGCGGTCTGCCTTCGCTGTATGGTCTCCAATCTACTTCAGACAGAAGTAGCTGTAAATGAATGTTAATTGTGATAAGCATCCTACCCACTGTATTGCAGGCTGGAGTTCATCTGTTGCATATGCTCTTGCTCTCTGTGAAACAGACCACAGTAACCTGCAACATCACGTGAGTGAAGGAGACAAGGACTTTGTGCAGCTCTGAAGTATTTGGCTATTACTACTACATCAAACTGTGCTAGGGAATCTGCTTTGGGAGGCACAGTTCTTTACCTCGCTGGTCACATACTGCACATTGAATAGCGAAAAATAATTTCCTTAATCAGAAAAGGCAACTGTTTGTCAGTAATTTGAAATGCAGTTTACTATCATTCACCTTCAAATGTAAATATTTTAATACTCCCATAAGAAATCACTTTGGGGAATGAGTTTGAGCAAGAGGCTTGCAGAGAATCAACATGGAATCAGATTTTGATCTCAGAAGTTTCCTCAGGTATTGTGGCATGCTGCAGTGAGGAAATGCTGTGCAGCACCCAGACCCAAGGATTCTGGTGGTTCCAAGGTAACTGCTGGTGTTCTCTCTGCACCAGCAGCTGTGGCAACTGCTCGCTGAGAACCAGCTGGCTGATACTTCAAAATTTGGTTATGAAATACTGTCAGTTGTTCCCCACAAGATCCTCACAAGGGCCACAGGAAAGTTCACTTTGATGTTCACTGCTTTAGCAGCAAAGGTTGTGCTAAGAAAAGGGCTCTTAATGCAGGAAAAGAGCTTCTGAAGAGACAACCACCTTCACCCTTGTACCCATTTTCTGTGAGACACTTAGAGATTATCTGATATCAATGCTTGAAATTCTACAGAAAAAAAAAAAAGTAGGCAAGAAGAATTTATATTTTACTATCTTAATCCACATCCCTCTATTTTTCCATCTTATCTGAAAAAAATTTCTAGGATACATTTTCAAGTAATAGATAACTACTAGTCAATTTATTTCATATAAACTCAATATTGACTGAAGTTTAAGACAAAATACAAAGCAGGTACTGGCTTGTTCATCATTTAGAACAATTACTTTCCCTTAACACAAATGATGAAGAAGGAAGTTTTATTCCTTATGGATACTTAAATAGCACGATTTTTCAAAGGATGTCTTAGGTTGCATTTTATCATCTCAACAAATATGGAAGTTTTATATTTATTTTTACATAGACCATTAAATCTCAGTGTTTCCAATATGAAACTTTGCAGTAACTGCCACTTCGTATTATTTTAGAATTACTTACACAGTAAGGCTGCTCCAAAAGTAATGCCTCCTATTTTATTATGTTGGTGTCTGAGGCAAAAGTGTAGAATTGAACGCTTCCATGCAGAAAAAGTGACACCCACTGACATTCATTAACACTTACTGAATGTTTCTGGAGACCAAACAGTGGATGTGAGCACAGTGAGGTGTGGGTGGTGTGTTTTAGCAGTGGTGACAGTGACAGTGGTTACCCCCATTGGTGCACATTTTTATGAGCACAGTATGGAGGCTCTTGTTTGTCACTGGTGAAAATGCACAGCTCATGGTGGTGACTATGTCAAAAAGTAGTGTTTCATAGCTGAGAATTTATTCCGTGATAGTATTACTGTTCTTTGTTGTAGTTTCTGTGGAAACGTTGCTTTCAGAGCAACCTATGTATTAAATTTTTTTTTTTCTTCTAGATTTCAAACAATCTTTCTCTTTGCTTTCAAACCACATCAGAATAATAGTGTTTAATTTGATTAAATCATAATTCAAAGTGTAATATGATAGAACTGCTAATAACATAAAAGGGAAGAGTATACATGTAGCAAATGTTTCACTGACACCACCAAGATCGGTTACATTTTCTTGCTTCAAAATATTTATTTTGTGTTTCTTTACATTTAAGATTTCAGCTTTAGGAAGAAATGGAGCTCCTGACTGGCTCTCACAAAAAAACACAATTCAGAGGTTAATTCTGACCTCATATACATCCTGTGTACGCTACACAAAAGTCTCATGACAAAGAGAAACTAGGCCACAAATTAATCCATGTTGTTTTCCCTACATTTTCTCTTACTGTATATTCAGTCATCATAAAATCGTTAAGGTTGGAAAAGACCTCTAAGATCCTCCAGTCCAACCATCCACCTGCCACAAATATTGCCTGCTAAGCTGTGTCCCTGAGTACAACAACATCTACCCTTTCTTTAAACACCTCCGGAGATGCTGACTCCACCACCTCCCTGGGCAGCCTGTTCCAGTACCTTGCTGCTCTTTCTGAGAATTTTCCCTAATGTCCAACCCGAATCTCCACTGGTGCAATTTAAGGCCATTAAGTTCAACCACAACTGGATTACTGTAGAGAGCTGTAAGGTCTCCTCTGAGCCTTCTCTTTTCCAGCCTAAACAATCTCAGTTCCCTCAGCCACTCCCTGTAAGATTTGTGCTCCAGGCCCGTCACCAGCTTCATTGCTCTTCTGTGGACATACTCCAGGGCCTCAGTGTCTTGTAGTGAGGGGCCAAAACTGAACACAATTCTTAACGTGCAGCCTCACCAGGACTGAGTACAGAGGGTCAATCACCTCCCTGCTCCTGTTGACAGTGTTATTTCTGATAGAAGCCAGAATGTGGTTGGCCTTCTTGCCATCTGGGTACACTGCTGACTTTTGCTCAGCCAAGCACTGACCAACACTCCTAGATCTTTCTCATCCATGCAATTTTTCAGCCATTCTGGCCCAAGCCTGTAGCATTGCATGGAGCTGTTGTGAACAAAGTACAGGAGCCAGCACGTGGTCTTGTTTAACTTCATGCCATTGGCCTCAGCCCATCACTCCAGATCCCTTTGTAGGGCTTTCCTACTCTCAGGCAGATTGACACTTCCACTCAGCTTGATGTCATCTGCAGACATGGTGAGGGTGCACTCCATTCCCTCATCCAAATCAAGATGCTAATCAGGATGGGCTCCAATACTGGCCCCTAGGGAACATGTTGAAATAACAAATGAAATAACAAATTCTAGCATTTCGAATATCTTTTTTTTGGGGGGGGCTTAGTCCCAAAGAACCCAGCTGGACTATCCTCAGCCTTCCAGTACTTTGCTTGGGATCACAGTGCTGTAAATAGTATGGTTTCCATTTGTTTATGAAATGAATTTCAAATGGAAAAATTAAACAACACTAGAAATACAGTTAATAAATTACCTGGATCCACTCATGGTTTTTGAGCTGCTTCTGGAAGGCAAATTTTAAATTTGGTTTATTACCAATTGACAGAGAGAAAGGAGGGGCTCAAAGGTGTATTTATGCATACAGATGACAGACCTCTAGTGGACACAATTACTAAGTGCTTATGTAAACACTGCATAAGGGATGCATATGTGCTGTCAAAGGGAAAACAAACTTCGGAAGTCTATTTAAAAAGTTTTTTTCATTATGTGTGTAAAAATATAATGTGTTCATCACTCTAGTGTAGTTCTGACCAAGTGTGGGGTCTCAGGAAATTATTTAACTTTGCCTACTTTTTCAACTGTTCGAAACCATAGTGCTGTTGTACCTCAAGCAGCTACATCAGGACAAGGAAAGTGCCACACATCAGCTAAAGGCAGCTGGACCGCAGTAAGTTCTGGCTTCTTTTCCACACTGTTGATATCTTCTGATCAGCCAGTGCAGGGAGGATATTTAGGAGCTAAATATTTTGCACTTGGACTTCCTCATACCAGGTAAGTTTATATGAAGAACACTTTGGTCCAGTTGTTTCATGAATACAAGAAGAAGGCAGAAGGATATGAAAATAAATCAGCCAGGAATCAAAACTACCACCAAGGTCATTAAATTTATTAACTTCTTAAAAATCATACAAAGACAATAGTTGACACAATAATGTTAGCTGAAGATCTTGAAAACAATCACACATGACACACATTTGGATACTACGAACAGTAAAAACATCTTTTTTCTATGGTGACACAACTCAGTATCTAAACAATCATCTTCCTGTGAATATGAATCAATGATAGGAACAAGGAGAACAAGGAGAATCCTGTGGATGGCACTGTGCCATCCAGTGTACTATGTGAACACTTACAGGATGAAAACAGGTTTTATTCAGTTTTTCATGCATGACAACAGACCTTTTCTTTCAAGGTTATATAAAATACATTTAAGAAAAGGATGACATAACATACTTCTATGAAACAGAAAGCATATTTAAAAGCTTAAGTCTGGGTGTCCAACCTGTCAGCTTGTCCGGGCCAAACTGGGTGAATAGGAATTATCTTGGGATGCAAATATGTAGGCTGTTTCAAAAGTAATGTATCCTATTTATTTCCATGGAGACTACAACTGATACATAGAGCACAGTAACACTGTTTGACAGAGCTACTGACATGATGGGGCAGGCCACAGGTTGGACATGCCTGGCTTAAGTAAAACCAGCAAATAACTGAACTGAGGTAAACTTACAAAACAAACACCTCTTTTCAGTGATTACAGGGCTAAAATGGAGTCAAAACCTCCAAGATGAGAACTGACAGCCATGAAAGAGCCAGCCGTTATTCCTTGATACTTTGAAGTAGCTTTAATAAATGAGACTCAATAACCTGTTGAACTAAAGCCAAGAAATGATTTGGTTAATCAGGGTTCAATGTTTGTTCAAGTCTTTAAGATCTTTACTGTTTTTTTTCTGGCAGATACTAACAGGCAGGAATTAATCCACTTTGAGAAGGCAGTTTACATTCCTTCAGAAAAGAAGCACCTCACATAATCAAAAACAACATAAATGGTTTGAAGGCAGATGGGGATGATGATCTGTTCTCTGGTTTGAATAGGCATATGCCAAGCAAATCTTAAAATGTATAAATGGCTTATTAGAAACTACATCTCTTAAGCAATTTAGAGATTGAGCTCTTGAAGGAGTCCTACATCTAAATACCTCTGAAGTTACTGGCTCCTGCATACATGTATTAGGACTCTGCTTGTAGGAGCAACATGTGCTGTTCTGGCTTATTTGAGATTTAGTTCCAGATTCTGTAACAACAGATACTTCACAGCTTTCAAACTGAAGGCAGCATGAGGGGAAAAAAAAACAGTGAAGAATCCAATCTTCGCCTCTGTGTCTTCCAGAGCCAAATAGGGTAGCTTGCTTCACTAATCTCTGCATTCTTTATGTCTGCCTTCAAGGCAAACCAGATCTAGTACAAGCAAGAAGTTTTGCCAGCTGCATCACATGCCAACAAAACATGTTGCACTGGGTTGAGTGGTTTGGAAGGGCTGGATGCACTGTTATTATTGCCCAGTATAACTCACAGTTCTTGCACGGGGCTGGGGAGCAGCTCATCTCTCCCTGCCTGGATCATGACTGCAACAGACCTACACACTTCATGCCACTGCCATTTTCTCACCAGGCACTTGGCTTTCTGAACCAATAAGGAAAAATACTAATTTTGTACTGATATATTTAGACGTGTTAAGGCTCTGAGAAGAGGAATCTTCTTTCAGCTTTATAACTAATAAAACTCTATTAGGCCATTGCAGCAGCTGCATGAACAAGGAGCAGCAAAAACAAAAATCAAAGAATGTACATTTGCAATACCTACCACTCCGATAGCCCAAGGCTACAGCCAAATCCATGGAATTATAGCCAGCATCTGTTTCGATAGTTGGATCAGCACCATTTTCTATGCAAAACATGAAAGGAAAACCAAGTCAGATCTTTGACAGCAAGAACTGATAACACATCCATACAGATAATTCATTTTGGATAGGCTGCTTACCAAGAAGAATTTTTACACATTTCACATGGTTCCCATGCACTGCATACAGTAGAGGCGTACCTCCATTCTGCAAAAGCAGTAAAAAGCCTTAGACAGCAATTGAGTGGCCTGGAATTTTAAGTCCTTAGCATACCAGTATAGTTCTATATATCACATATTCATCCCTGGACACAATCAGAGCCAGGCTGGATGTGGCTCTGGGCAGCCTGGTCTAGAGGCTGGCAACCCTGCCACAGCAGGGAGGTTTAAACTATATGATCTTTGAGGTTCTTTTCAACCCAGGCTATTCTATGATGAGACTTCATGAGTTTTACACAAAAATCAGGTTATCAGTTTTAGTTCTCTGTAACTTCCATCTTTTTTCATCTACCAGTGACATTAAGTGATATATAATCTCACACTTCTAATTGCACTCAGCATTAATTTCATTCTCTTTTTTACCAGAAAGTCAGAATTAGCAGCACCAACTTTTATGTTATCAAAGAACATCCTGTGTAAGTTTGGGAGAACAATTTTAAAGTCCAAGCCAATGTTATGCTCTGCTGCAAAGTTCTGACCACGGCATACACTGATGAAAATTCAAGCTAAAGACTTACCCAGTCATACTCATTGACATCAACTCCACAGTCAAGCAGCATTTTCACAATATCTGTGTACCCTTTGCTGCAAGCCAGTGAGAGTGCACTTTCTCGCCCTTTCCCCAAAATCTGAGGATCCGCACCCTGAAATAATGGAAAAAAAAAAAAAAAAAAGCAAGTTAACCAATTTGTTTCAAAGTGAGGTTTTACAGAGAACTTTCCAAGTTTTAAATAAACAAAACTTAGAGTAAAACTTTCCAAGTTTCAAACTGACAAAACTTAGAGTAAATAAACTACAAAGTAAATTAATAAATTTAAAATGAAGTGTGTTCTTTTTTCTTACATTCTGGAGGAGAAATTCCACTACTGCTATCTGCCCATGAGCTGCAGCCCACATCAGAGGGGTAAATCCTTCTTCATCCTTATGATTGATTACATTTTCTGTTCAAAGCAAAATATACCACTTATTAATCCCTTTCATAACGTATGAGCTGGTAGAATGAACGTGTAGGCATATCCATTGTGAATGAACTGAGGTAGGAGCATATTCTAAAGTCACTCAGATTTTAACTTTAAAAATAAATTTCTGTAACAGTGGTTGTGAAAATATCCATGTCCAAGGGAAAAAAAAAAAAAGACTAAAGTAAAATTTAGTAGCTGAGTTTTTGTTTTTAGGTTCTATAAACCCAGCTCTGTTTTTACTCAGAAGAAAAGTTATAAGTTGCCTATAATATAGGCTTCATATTTGCAGACAAGTCCTGCTTGAAAAGTAAAGAAATACACTTTAGGCACTTTTTCAACAGTGAGCCACAGACTTGTAGTATAAACCTATTCCCCCCTAGTTCATGTAATCAACAGGTTGCTACATGGAAACAATTAAAGTCTACATAAAGGAAAAAAGAAAAACTTTTTTTTTTTAAACAAGCAGCCAACTGAATTAGTTGGATTTTGTATCTGAATCCTTTAAATTTCCATTGGGCACCATAGTAAATATTTTCATTGATTACTAACATTTCAAAAAACAATTTGACCTCCAGTCAACTCACTGAGAAGGTATACAGACTCAGATATTCACTTCTTGCTTTCTATGAAAGTTTTAACAGAAGGACTGAAAACAAGCTTGGTTATTAATAACAGAGTAAGCATATACTGTGTACAGTACTCAATTTAACATAATACAAATGTAAAGGTTGACATTTTCTATATGTACTATAGACACAGCTATAATGCTGAAGAATACAATACAACTTGGAATGAGTGCTCTTATATAGCAGGCATGATCCATAGCTTAAATTCTCAACATATAGTTCTCTATGTTGATCATATTAATTAAATAGAATCAGAAAGCTTCAATTAGTAGTATGCATTTAAATGATAAATACCAACAGCAACAACAAAAACCAAGCCAACTTTATCTCTTTTTATAGAATTAACATTCTCTTAAAGTTTACGGATCACCCACATAGTGCGGGAAGCAGGGAAAATAACAGACTTCTCAACTTCCATCAATGTTGATGTTTCATTTTAAACGCAAATCAAAGCACTGAATGAATCAAGAGTCATAGAAAACAACAGTTCACCTGCAAAGAATAGGTATCTCAAAAGTCAAAAGTTGGAAAGGACACTCAGTCGTATCAGATTTGGAGATCTCTTGAATGCATCTTCAGGGAAAAAGTTGAGTGTAGCAGGATATAAGTGCATGAGATAAAGAGGGAGGTATTTAACCTTTCCTCAGACTCACCCTGTTCAATACGTGTGGCCAGATACAACATTTCTCCCTGAGCAGCCAGCTGGTGAACTGATAAAGCTGCAGAAATGAAAGCAAGAAGAGGTGATACGCACATCAGTTTTCATTCTGATGTTTGGAGGTGGGCATAGAATATCCGTTGGCTTGAGCTATACAGAGTCCAGACATGACAGTGTTGATATATATATCACCTTTTACTCTGCATCATTATCATAAAATGTGAGAACTTTCCAAAGAATTTAATAGGTTTCCACAATTTTTTAATTAATGTAGAAATTATGCTAAAAAGGTGCTTCTTACATTGACTTCTCAGATGGCAAAGTGCTACCCTCTCCCATTTTTAGTCAGCAACCCAAGAGCATATTAAGAACATTTATCAAATCAAAACAAACTTATTTTGATATTTTACGACTGTGTAATTTACAAATGACATTTATTGTGTGAAGAGATCACAAAATATCTGGAAGCCCCAAATGTGACTCTTATTCACTACAAGGTGGGGCATAGCAAACCTTACAGAACTATGTACAACATGATATCTACCAAGGAAGAATAAAGTGGTGAGTTTTTTTTTATAATTTTTAATTGAAAGTTCCAAGCCATAAAGACTTAAAGTGGAACTCTTTAAGGAGTTACAAAAGAGACCTCTCTGATCCCACAGTAAATATTGCACAGGTGCATGGTTCTGACAATCATAACCTGGGCCAAATCTGAAAGATACTCAGGAAGAAATATATGTAATAAATGAACTCGGATCTACACGAGATCCAGATCTAAGAAAATCAGCTAACAATTACATAATATGTAAATATACCATGTCCTTTTTTTTTTCCCCCCTGTTCTCTGCATGAAATCTTGATTTCTTTTTCAGAAAGACTGCCTATTTTGGTCAGGTTGAGGTCTATGTCAAGACCTATTTTTCCCAATTTATTTAACACTGGCCTTACTCAGTTTAAGAAAGATGCACATGCAAGATTTAGAAGTAATTTAAAAAGAGAGTAGTTCATAGGAGGCAAAGTAAATCTTAAAGAAGTGGGTTATAGAGAAAAAGCTTGAAACTAAGAATTAAAAAAACCTTGAATAATAGTGTCGTCTTGATTTTCAGGATGTGTGATAGCGATGTTTGCAGCAGTCTGGAGCACTTAAGCTTCATAAGTTCTGAAAATAATTATATCAAGCACAAAAGCTTAAAGTTCCAAGAGGATCAGAAAAGTCATTATCTCTGCCTTTTCAAATCAAGACTTGGACCCTTTTCTGGAAAATACACTTCAGTCATGAACTCAAAACAGGCTGGAACACTGTGACATTAGACAATGTTTTCTTCTTACATTAAAGTGTATTAAAGAGGGGAAAAAAAAAAAAGGAAAAACTCAGCAAGCATTGAACTTGCAATTCACAACAGAATTATTAGCTGAAGGGCAGAAGGATACTTACAGTTTACAAGCAGAGGTGTTGTAGAGACTTCATTTCCCCTATGTTTGTTAGTTAGGGTAGTTGATTGTTTTATTGGTGAGAAATGCTTAGTAGTTGATGGAGTATAAACATGTCTTACTTGGATACCAGGTGAAGGAGAAGTATGGATGTTGCATTCAGCTACATCAGAGAAAACAGACATAATTTTAGTATCAGAAAGAGAATTAAATCAAAGCCACAGATTCTGATCAAATTAGAAAGCACCAATGCTGTAAGATCTTTCAAACACACCTGCATGATCTCTGTAGCATGTGCTTTTTCTACTGTGTACTATGTGAGTTGAACAAAGAGCTGTTTTCAATATAAAACATAAAACAATGCTAGTAGCCCTCGCGTTAAGTATGGCATGTCACTCAGAGACAATTTGCTGTCCAAGTGAGGAAACTCTCTGCCTAGATCTCCAACACATCTGGCATGCATTTATCAAGTATTCCTTGACATTCAATACTCTTGCTAGCACTCTCCAGTGCAAAGAATATGATGCAGCTCTGGTCTTCACCAGGACTTCTTCCACTCCTGTTGGATAAAATTATAACTGCGTTACGGATGTCTTTGTCCAGCAGGAATAGAGAAATTCCAAACCAGCTTACAGAAAATGCAACAGAAGTGGCTGTGAAGCCAATTATTAAAGGGTTAAACTCCGTTATTGGCTAAACTGATTTAAAACCAGTGTGCACTAGTAATTAGTGACAGGAAACTAATTGACATGCACACAGAATTCACTGTATAGAGAACCTTGTGGTCATAAACCCAAGTACAAATTTCGTAAGAGAACCAGTAAGAAGAAGAGGGTAACAGGATAAACACAAAATTCCACTTTGTTTGCCAAACAGTTACAGCAGAAGTTATCAAATTAAGTGACCTACCAAGGATTTTTGGCCCTGGATCTGCAGGACTATTTCTAAAAGGTTCACAATTGTTATCTAAGAAAAACAACGCTATTGCTGACGGGTCTAAGTTTCTCGTACAAGTCTGCAGCTCCACTAGAAAGCATTCAGGGCCTATAAACACAGATCAGCAAAATCATGAAAACCCATAATAGGCCTGTGTTTGCATTCGTTACAGAAAAAGTGTAAAATTAAACACAATGAAATGACAAACTACTCAGAGTCCAAAATACTGAATCAAACACTGAAAAAAACCACACTTTTTAAGGGTAAACAGAAATCTTAAATTATTTTTCCCATCAATACGCTCTGCCATTAAAGAGCACAGATCAATTCTTATGAAGTTGGACAGAAGTGGTTAGAGAACAGCTGGAGGAAACAATTTACAGAATGGTAGCAGCATTCACTTTCAAACTGAATCAGCAAGATGATCACTACAGTGACTACAGGCTTTGCACAGCCATATGGATATGACAAAGTCAACTGCATGACTGATGTTACTCTGTCATTGTAGTGGAAAGATAAAACATGGTCCAGAAAGCTACTGAAGTTGAAATGACCACACAGTGCTTTCAGTAAGGTTTTGTAAATACATATACATTCAACATGGTATAGCTCATCTTAGACTTTCATCTATGAGAGCTTGCTACCAGAAATAACCTTGTTTTTAAAATCCACATCAGCTCTTTATAAATTAAAAGCTTTTTGTGCTGTTACTTCTTCAACTTTTTTGATTAAAATATCAAACCAACAAACCTAAAAGTGTGATAAAAAAATCCTGGGGGAAATGAATTATACAGTAATAAACCATCAAGCTTATTAAAAAAATGCTTGCAGAAAATATCTTAGAAACTATTACTGATTAACACACATACATGGCAAAGGCTTTTTAAAAAACAGAGCGTGATGAGACAGTCTGGACATAATAACTTGTACCATAAAGTTCAACCTTTAAACAGGACAGATGCCACTTCCAGGTCAGAGTTAACTTGGTCTTGAATATTTTTACTGTCCTCCTCATTCAGAGACTTCACAAATCGTGAACAGACGTTCATATCAAATCTATTGGGTAAAATGAACTTCATGCCCATGGCCACACTCTGGGATGGGCCCTCCTCTGTGCTGGAGTCAAGCTGGTGCTCCACCTTGATGTCTGGCATGGGTGGAAGGCTGTAACTAGTGGTACACTCTTCCACAATCAGCTGGGCCCCGGTGTCTAAGTTAGCTGATGATGCCATGGCTTTGGTTGTGTGACACTTTTATGGAAAGTATTTCCTCATGGTTTCCTGCCAAGAGCAGCTCTGGTCAGCCAAGCTCCGAGGAGATCCAGCCTACAGTCAAACACAGATAAGATACTGGTGAAGTGACACATAAAAATACATTATGCACGCATCATTTAAGCTTATTACCTTTGCTTCTCAGCGTTAGACCTGAAGGAAAACACAAACGACTCCGCCCCGTCAGGATACACCACCGAAGCGAACCGTACAGAAACAAGGACGCCCCAGCGCACGCCTCAGGAAACGACGGGCCTTTTCAGGAGGGAAGCAGCCGGCGGGCGGAGGAAGGCCCTGAGGAAAGCTGCGGCAGGACCCTAGCAGGCCGTGACCGGGCTCCCCGCGTAGCCCCCTGCAGCGAGGAGAAAGCCGCGTCTTACCGCGCCCAGGGAGTGTGAGACATCACTTCCGCCTCAGAGGGGGGTAAAACATCACTTCCGCCTTGCAGTCTTGCGATTGGCCAGGTGGCGGCGCCCGCTGATGACGCAGTCGCCCGCCGGCGTGCTGCCTGTCCGCGAGGCGGTGCGAGGCTAGCTATGGCGGCGCGGCGTGGCCTGCTCCTTGCGCTCTGAGGCGGCGCGTCCCGCATCTCCCGGCGCGCTCCGCTCCTCCGCAGCACCTCGGCGGTACACTCGCAGACCTCCCTTCTCCTCCCGGCTCCTCCTCGGCTCAACCATGGCTTCCTACAAACCCGTCGCGATCCCGGTGGTGCCGAAGCTCGGGGAGAAGATCACGCAGGACACGCTGTACTGGCGGGGGTACAAGGTGGGAAGGGCCCCGGGGCCGGGGCAGCGCCGGTCGCGTTCCGTCAGCGCGGGGCTGCAGCTGGCTCCGCCTAACCCGCGTGCCGGCCGGGCCGCACTCGTGGCGTAGGGGAACTCGGCACCTCCGTGTGCGGCTGGGGCAGTCTGTGTCACAGGCTGGGCCCGCAGGAGTCCTGGCTGTGCTGAAGTATTTCTTGCTGCTTCTGTTGGAGTAAGCGGAGTATTGTGTGTGAATAGAGCTTTTTTTTTTTTTTTTCCTCTCCCTTTCAAAGTGTGTAATTTATGGCTCGGTTTTAATGTGAAGAGGGAAAAGAGCACGAAAGCAAAAGCAGCCTAGGGAAAAAAGAAACCTAACGGGATGGTGCTTCAGAGATGATTTTGTTCCAAATAGCGTTTTAAGCTCAACAGCAAGAAAAGATTTCTTTACACTCTTGTCATTTTTGATGGTGTGCCTATGTGTATTTAATTGTCTTTATTTTGACTCTTTTAGACACCTGTTCAGATTAAGGAGTTTGGTGCAATAAATAAAATAGACTTCTCTCCAGTTCCTCCATATAACTACGCTGTCACAGCCTCCTCGAGGGTGAGTGGCTGATTGTGAGGTTGTTACGTTGCTGCTTTTCAACTGATGCCCTTTGAGTGAAGATAATGTCTTCTTGTTTTGCTAGGTCCACATTTATGGACGCTATTCTCAGGAACCAATTAAGACATTTTCTCGCTTCAAAGATGCCGCCTATTGTGCCACGTACAGGGATGATGGCAAATTGCTTGTTGCTGGCAGTGAGGAAGGCAGCATTCGCCTCTTTGATATTAGTGGAAGGGCCCCCCTGAGGCAATTTGATGGTCATACAAAGTAAGTCTTGCTCTTTGCATGTATAAGTTTATTTTGTGTGTTTACATATGTATGTTGCTAAAATCTGAGCACTATTAATCAAGTGCTTGCAACTGTTGCATGTATTACTGAAAAATAGGTTTTAAAATTGAGTTATGAATTGCAGTGGCAGTGTAGTTTTTCATTCTAAGTATGACTTAAGTTCATGGAAGAATAAGTACGTATTCTAATTCAGGGAGATGTCTGTTAATGTGTTGCATAGACATAGTCTCATGCCTGCGTGTGCTGACAGACAAATTTTATTTGTTGCTGGGAGGAACAGTTATAAAAAGTGCACTTTTTTCACTGAAAAACAAAACAAAACAGCATTAAAAAAAAAACAAAAACCAAAAAAAACAACAAAAAAAAACCCCACACATCTGGCTGGGGAAAAATTTGGAAGAGGAGTTCTGATATTCCAGATAGAAAAGAGTGGTAATACTTTGATTTGACAAATTCTACCCTTTCAAGACCTGTGAATGACTTAGCTTTATGGAAAGTAACAGTCATCCTCCCTTAGGAGAGCACCCACAGAGAACTTGAGACTGTATTTCCATTTGAGCTCTCTGCTTTTAGATAAGGTATTACTTTATGTTGTAACTCTTAGGTTAACCTAACTACAATAAAATTTATGATACCTGTTTTATGTGTTGAAGTCATTCTCTGTTGTTACGTTATATTAGTAATTTCAATAGTGATTTTAAGGGCCACGAAATGTCCAACCTTGTCTTACTTAAAGCTCAGTGTTGTAAATGTGCTCTAAAGGATTAAGCTAGCTCACAGACCTCTAAATAACAAATATAGGATTCACAACTCTTGAGCAAGCAGCCAGTACTCCTCTAAAACTTTTCATGTACATCTGGTGTGATCCAAGATGAAAGATCCTTTCCTGGCTGAAACAATAAAACCCAAACTGTTCTTAACTTCTGAAGTGAGGGTCTGTAGCTTTCAGTAGTGAATATTTTGTGCTTTCAGGCTAGAGAGAATGCCTTCCTTTAACAAGCTTTTGATGCAGTGTTATGGAAATGACAGAATATTTTAACATTGGCTGTTATGGGCTTTGGTTTCTAGAGCTGTTCACGTGGTGGGCTTCCTGTCTGATAAGTACCGAATATTTTCTGGTGGTGATGATTATTCATCGAGTGTGTGGGATATTCCGAGTGCTACAGAAACAGTGTCCTACAGTGAGCATAGTGACTATGTGAGATGTGGCTGTGCAAGTAAACTGAATGGAGATGTCTTTATAACAGGTTTGGTTTTCTTTCTTCATATATGCTTCTCTTGGCTAGAATTGAAGAAAAACGCAGGAAGCTTTTAATACAGTAGCATCGTGTTTATTTTATTTTAAACATGAAGAATGTGTTTTCCCGCTCAGGGCCTAGTGTGTTCTTTTCCTTTTGCTTGCTTTTCAAGCCAAATACTGATGCTTGTAGGGGAACTGTAAGCATTAAACATCTTGCTATACCCTGTCAAGGCTAATGGGACTGTTCTGACTTGCTTTTGAAAGTTTAAGAAAAGCTGTGAATGTGTGCTTTTGCTGGATTTGGTGTTTCGTGATGTTTCAGCAGAGTACTAGTTCCACTGTGTTTGTACACCTTAAAATTTACAGACTCAGAAATGAAACATCCTGTGAGGAGTTTTAAAATCAGTTGCTTTTGGTTTTCCTACCAGCAACTTTTTATTAATTTGTACTGGAATTGTAAATTAAAGTAGTATGAAAAATCTAGTTTTTCTGATTTCAGAGTCAGAAAGGCACTAGGTTTCAGCAGATTTTCTGGTATATTAACTTGAGTAAGCCACTAGAATTTTTAAATACATGGTTTAACTGTTTCCATTTGGCAAGAGCTCCTTTGAATTGTAGCATGTGACTCTTTTAGTTCCTGAAATAATTTAAATTATGTAACTGAAACTAGCTATGATGTTATTTCAGGTTCCTATGATCACACTGTGAAGGTATTTGATGCACGAACAAAGAGCAGTGTCATGACGATAGAACATGGCCATCCTGTGGAGAGTGTGCTTCTCTTCCCTTCTGGAGGTCTTCTAGTGTCTGCAGGTATTTGAATAAAATTAACTAAGTTCTCTATGTGCTTGAGGACTATTCCAGTTGGTTCCTTCTTGTGTGGTGTTTTCATTTGGCCATGTATTGTTAAGTATGTATCAACTGGAATTCCATGGGAGTCTGTGTTGATTTTCAGGGTGAATTTAGTGGTCTTCTTGCCTCTGATTTGCTTTTCTTGTAATTAGTCAAAAAAAAAAAATTGTACATCTTTAATGAAGAGGTACAGACTTAATTCATCCAGTGCTAAAGTGAACATACTTAAGAAGTGTTCTAAAGGTGTAAAGGTGTGACAATGTTGTTCTCTTAATCACACACAGCAAGATTTTCATTCTCTTCTTGCTGTTGCATTAGAGGTCTTATGATCCAGTGGCATATAAATCCTTTTTGTAGAGAGTATGTTGAATCATTCAGTTGTGTCTGCAAAATGACCTAAAAAAAAAAAAAGGCAGACATGTAACATATCTTGTCCCAGAGGATAGTCAGAATGGACTGGGAGATGAATAAGTGCAGAAACCTCTGTGCTGCAAAGGTGGCACTGTATTGCTGTGTGAAAACTTCAGACAAGCATAAATTTGTGCGTCTGCCCAGCTCTTCTGTGTGCTTCTTTCTCATAGGAGGTCGATATGTCAAAGTTTGGGATGTACTGAAGGGTGGACAATTACTGGTTTCACTTAAAAATCATCATAAGACTGTAACTTGCTTGTGCCTGAACAGCTCTGGACAAAGGTTACTGTCAGGATCCCTGGACAGGTTAGTATGTTTTGTGACTTTTTTGTGATTTGAATTTTTTAGGGTTTTTTTTTTCCTTTTGGAAGTAATTCTACATCAGCATGAAGCTGTGTACATGTTTAAGCTTAAACCCTTTTAGCTGTTAGGGATGTAATTTGTTTAAAAACATATATTGTATCCCCCTTGAAATGAGACTGTCAACAGGAGTGTACCCAAGGTGCAGAGGTGCATTATGTTCTTCTTTTCAAAGCTGATTTTTTTTTTTTTTTTTTTTAAATTCTGTTGCTGAGTTCAGATACTCAACCTTTTGTCTCTGACACATCAGAAATATGAAGTGGTCTGAAATTACAGTGATCTGTTAGCTTGCTTCTCCACTGCACTCCCTCTTGTACTTCCCAGGCTTCCTCAAGCCATGCAGTCATGAAGCATGGGGTGTGAAGGATCACACCAGCCATGTAGCTATTAGTCATACAGTGATCCTAACAGCAGAGCTTGTACTTGTTTCAGGATGATTGTTGTTTGTTTTTTTCCCAATTTGTGAATTTCTTCTCATCATCAACCAAATCACTAAAGGGCAGCTGGATGCGAGAATATGTATGGTTTTACTTCCAGAAATTGTCAATAAATCCTCCATATAAAATTTAAGAACAGTTTGGAGGAAATACTGTCCCACTGCTTTCTAATAAACATTACTGAAATCGGATTGCGACTACATGTGCCTTCAGTTTGTTTTTCTGTCCTTGTGTTGTTTTCATCTCTTTGGCATAAGGTAAAACTTTCTTGTCTTTTCTGGATTTTTTTTTGGAGCGTTTCTGTCATTGCAGGAGAGGTAAAAGCTAAGATGCTTTCTAGTTACGTGAAAAAAACTTTGTTTATGTATTCAGTTTTCTTAAATGATCTTCTAAAAGGTGAGAATGTAAACACTTCAAAATTTTCATCAATAAAGCATTAGTAACAAATTTTTTAATCATTACT